AGTCATCATAGTAGTCCTCATAGCCATAGTAATCAGGGGGATAAGCATAGCCCCCTCGGCCACCACGGCCCCTTCCTCGGCCGGGTGGTGGCATGCGGGGTGGTGGGTAGTAGTAATAGTCATCATATCTGTGGGGGACATAAATATCAGATCTGTCACACAACTGACCAATCGTTAGGGCTGAAACAGTTAATCGTCAACTCGTTTCATCATTGATTAATTGCTTACTACAGCATAGAAACTAAAAAAAAAATAAAAAAAAAAGACCATTTGATGCAAGAAAAATACTCAGAAGAAATTAAGCCAAAATGAAGCAAGAAAGTTTCATGTTGGGCATTAAAGATAAAAAACAAAACAAAACAAAAAACTGCTTTGTTTGTAAATATGGTTTACTCAGAACTCCTCAAGTGGTAGTTTTTGCTTCACTCGGTAAACATACATGGAAGCAATGCTATGCTATTGCATTTTAGGCAATAAAATGTTTTTTAAAAAAATAGTTTATTCATTTTAATTTATTTCCAGTATTGTATAAAATAAATGCTTCAATGCTAAATCTGCAGAATTTGCCAGTTTTTCTTTTATTCCATTAATCATCAGTCATTGATTGATGATCAGACGTGACTGACTCACCCGCCACCCCTGGTGGTCTGACGGGCTGCTTGGCGCTCTTTCCTCTTCTTATCTGGGGGCTTCGCCAGGACGATCTCGATTTCTTCCCCTCCAAGCTCCTTACCATTCATTTCCTCCATAGCCTGAAAATCATTAACAATTAATTACTAATTGAAACAGAATCAAATACATAAATATCCTTTAAACAAACAAAAAAAATCCTACCTTTACAGCAGCATCCCTATCTTCAAAATGGACAAAAGCGTAATCTTTCAGCTTTTTCACTCGTTCTAGTTTCCCGAACTGAGAGAAGGTTTTCTCCAGAAGCTCCTCTGTCACAGATGTAGCCAGTTTTCTCACAAAGAGCACTTTCACCTGTGATTACAGTAAACAGGGTGAGTTCCTGGAAAACGTAAGACTGGGAATGGATTTTAAATGTGAACCACTCACTTTTGCCATGACTTCTGGGTCAGGCTCAGCAACAGGGTCAGCCCACTCCACTGTGACTGGGTTCCCCCAAACTTTGACCTTTCCACTCATTAGGCGACGGCGCGCCTGAGCTGCGGATTTGTGATCTTCGTACTCGAGGAAACAAAAGCCCCGGTTCTTCTTCTTGTCATCTGGCTGGTGATACAAGATCACATCTTGTAGCCCCTCTGTAACATAAATCAAAAACATATTTTGTTACAAACACAAATGCCTATCATTATTACCAACTACAATCTGATGAGCTTTTAAAAAACAATTGTTTCTTCACAACTGAACAAACCTGTGACTTTGCCAAAGTCTTCTAATATACTGTCTCTTGTCTTGTTTTTTGGAATCGAGCCAACAAACAGGCGATTGTTTGCAACAGATATACACACTCCCAAATACTTCCCAGGGCGGATTTCATGGTTATCACACTGGAAACAAAAACATATTTCCAAACTCTTATCAGAAGTCAAAGCGTTTTTCAAACTGTTTAAATTCTAAAACAAAAAGAAATGGTCATTACTCATCCTATTAGAAAAAAAACAGCTTCAGTTTAGTTACAACTGAACAACAAAAGTCACTCCGTTCGATTAAATTACTTACAAGCTTCACAGCCTTTTGCGCATCATCTTTGTTACAGTAAGTGATGAAAGCGTAACCCCTGTTCTGACCAGATAGGGGGTCCATCATTAACCTCAGGTCCCAGATGGGTCCAGCAGATTCAAACAGTGGCACAAGCTCATCTTCATATAAATCTCTGGGGATCTTTCCAACAAACACCTGAATGAGAACAAAAATACACATTTAAAGCTTTAATATTGAAATCTATGATGATGTAATTTTATCAGGTCGCGGTTAACTGTGTTGGTTTAAAATTTTAGTTTCTCCTTATCCGTCTGGCACAAGAGAAATATTTTCAATTGTAGATAATTCAAGTTTGAACCAATTTCAATTTGTTTTTCAATAATGGCTACAATACAGATGTTATTTCTTTAGACCTCAGGTGTGGAACTCTAGTCCTCAAGGGCCGGTATCATTTCAGTTTTTAGATGTGCTACAAGTAGAAAACACTTGAATGAAATTACTTAATTACCTCCTCCTTGTGTAGATCAGTTCTCCAGAGCCTTGCTAATGACTTAATTATTCTATTCAGGTGTGGTGCAGCAGAGGCATATCTAAAAGTTGCAGGACACCGGCCCTTGAGGACTGAAGTGTGACACTCTTTTGCTTTGACCAACTACTGACCTCAGTTCCAATCCCTGGCTGCGTGCCGGTGAACACGTTCTCAGGGGGAGGCCCACCGTACTTCCTTTGCCCTGTTGTTACATCCAGAGTGTAGCCTGTTCGCTCCAACAGAGCCTAAACATATATACAAAAGAATAATAAAATTATGTTTGCAGGGGAATGTGATGTTAACATTTGATCTTGGGGTTTTACACTATAAATCCCACTTAGGTTCCTAATTACCTTTATTTTTGCTTCATCTGGACCTTTAGTTGACTCCTGGACCTTGCTTCCTTGTTTTTCTCGCTGCCTGTATGTCTTCATGACTCCACAAAGGAAAGCACTTTTGTTCTACCAAGAAAAATATCCACACAAATGAGTACAGGCAGCAATAAAAAGTAAGTAAAAAACTGCTACTAAAGCAAAACTCTGAAGCTAAGCAGGTACCTGAACATGGGATAAGTCACTTTCTTTAAATTGCTGCAGCACGGTAAGTGCTCCTTCTTCATTGAACTCTCGCAGAGCATCAATAGCCCTTTCATCCAGGTCAGCATATGCCACCAACCCTGCAGAAAAAAAAGACACGTTAGCTACAATCAAATTAAACACACTTGAAGGTTTGTATTCTCATTTGTTTAGTTTCAAATTTCCACCTGTCTGGAAGATGTTATCTAAACTTTCAGCCACTTTCTGAGGAAGCCCAGCATCAAGCAGAGTTTGATAATTTTCTGTGTGCGTTGTTGTCACATCCATGGGTTCCTCTTCTTCCTTTGCTGGGGCAGAACTGCCATTCACCTCAGCGGCGGCCATTCTCCTGCAAGGAAAATAAAAGAAAAACAGGTGATTAAATCTTATTCTGGTCTAAACAATGTCGAATCAGAAATTCCTAAAAAATAAGAACAAGACAGCAGTACAAAAAAAATCTTAAATTCTGGTTCAGCAAAGTCTTATGATTTTCTTTAAAATGGAATTTATTTTTATAATATAATTTCAGTTTATGGTTATAAGAACCCAATTACCAAAAATCCATATTTTAATCTGGAATTCCTGAATTATAATAAAAGTGTGGAATAAGCAAGTTGGAGCAACTTTTAAAGCAAACTCTTCTAATAGTTTTAATAACTGTAAACAACTTGGAATGGTTTCCGTTGCGAGTTAAAATAGCCCGGGCTCTCACAGAAACCATCGGAACCTACAGTCCCGCCCCCTTCACATGCAAGCCAGCTACTAAGCTAAATGAACACGTTTCTTATGCAAGATCTAAGTGCTAATACTAGATAATCTAGATTATAAATACAAACGATCGAATAATTTATTTAGCATATTTCAGCATTTTAGCTGCGTTCAAGTACGTTTCCATCTTCCCTCCCAGAGCAGGACCAGTCGCTAGCCTCCTAGCTAGGTATGGAAGCTAACAGGCCTCACCGTGCCGAGAGACACCGTCCACAAGCCAAACAGACAAAGGGCGCAAAAACGGGTAGTTAGCAAAACTTACGGGTCAAATTCAGGCAGTCAACCGCAACGCGCTTCAGGACGTGATTTTTTTCTAATCTCTTACGGAGTAAGTCAGCAGGAAGACGAGTGTTTGTGTTGAACCCACGAGACAATTTTCCAGACACCAACGGTCTCGTCGTCGGCTCGCCCGAACAACGCAGCCGCTCATCAACCATCGCGAGACATTGAACGAGATCTGATGAAGGGCAATGAGCGTATGGTGGGTTCGATTTTTGTCGAAAGCGAATACAGGCGCCCTCATGTGGCGAAAAATTGAACAGAACATCTTTAAATGCAACAGCAGCAGCAAAGTGGCCTTCAAACGGAAGCACTCGTCTACAAACATTGGCAATTTTTTAAGAAAAAATTAAAACAGGTGCATTCTTACACATTTTCTGTGCATTAAACATTTAAATTTGATCAAAAATTTGTATTGTGATTTTCTACAAAAATCTAAAACATGCAGCGTCTATGCATTCAGCCTCCTTTACTCTTGTATCCCTTAAAAATATGCAAATCACCTAATTAGTAAAATCTGTAATTTAATCTCAGTATAAATACAGTTGCTTTATGAACAGCTAAACTGAACCATAGTAAACAAACAACTTCATAAAGACCCAGGAATACAGCAGACAGGACAAAGTTGTGGAAAAGCTAAAAGCTGAGTTTCGTTATGTCTTTGATAAAAGGGCAAACCATCACACAGCTTGGCAAGGAGACCATATTCTCTGTGATGAAGTGGGGCTTCACCAGCTCTTCTAGTTTAAAAACATGCATGTTGCGTTAATTGGTCTCTCTAAGTTTTTGATAATACTGGCTTTTGATAATACACAGAAGGACCATTGTTGAACAAGTTTTTATTCCAAGTACCGGTAAATATTTTTTGAGCTTCTGTTGACCAGAGCATACTCACTATTTGGCTTAAATTACTAAAATATTCCTGATTACCATTTAAAAATGACGTTTTCATGTGAGATACATATGATTATATGTGTGCTCTCTAGTTAATCCTGCATCTCTGATAGACTGGCCATGGGGTATCCAGCCTCTCACCAATGACTGATGAAGATGTGCACCAGACCTTTGATAAGTGGGAATAGACAATGGTTGATCAACAGCTCAGCTTTGTTCCATACACACTAGACAACCCGGAGTTTTCCCTAATACTAACAACACTAAACAAGCTGACAACTGGACAATTCAGGAAGATGAATCACTTTATTGTTTCAGCCCTTAGAATGAGGTCAGTATGACAACTTATGATCACAAGATCTGCCTTGACCAGCAGAGGAAACAAGTGAAATTCAACGAGTGGTTGCACTCAGCTAATAAGTCAGAGTGCGATTCTCTGCCTCAATCGTCATGTGACAGCTTTCTGATTTTGCCCGTATGGCGGTCGATCTCTCTTTGTAGGCGCTCAATCTCCTTTTTATGATGTTCAATCTCCTCTCTGTGGTGCTTCCTCAGAGCCTCCATCTGCTCCTTCTCCCTCTCCCTGCAAGTAAACAAAATTCAGAGGGTTAAAAGACTCACCTGGTACATATGTATGTTAGTGCAGTTACTACAAGGACAGCGAGTGGCTCACCTAAAGTACCGCTCCTCTTCTGCCGCTTCCCGCTTTCCAAACGCACCTCCTGCTGTTCTCACAGATCCTCCACCTCCTCCACCTTTCCCTGCACCTTTGCCAAGCTCACCAAGCTGATGAACACAAAAAGCATTCAGTCAAATCATTTATTAGATTATCTGAGTTAACGCCTTGAAATCAGGAAATCTGTCTCTTCAAAAACTCCTGCTTTTTCTGAAACTTCGCCTTCAGGTAGTCATTGCAACATCAGTCCTCTGGTAACCCTTCAACAATGTTTTACCAGTGTTGGACTGAGAAGTAGTTTGTACAATGAGGTGAGCAGATGCCCAATTCCACGAGGTGCTTGCTAATCACTGCTGGCTAGTCTGAAGGAACTGAGTGGGGAAATTGTGGAGAAGGCATGACTTAGAAGCTTGAAAACTACAAATTAAAGGAGGAGCTTCAAAAGCAGAGCATGGGTCCACTCTGACATTTTGCACAGCTAAATGGTTGCCATGGGAGGTTAAAATGATTTCTCATACATTAAAGAATCAAAGCAACACTCTAGATATGTTTATGATTAGAAAATAATAAAAAGCAAATCTCAAAAAGGAGGATTTTAAATAATACCACCCCTTTAAAAGTTAGACTTACTTCTGTACTTTACTAGTGGATTTTTAAACTGTCTTTAGGTATTCTGTTACTCTTGTCCAACTTTATACCAAAAATATTGATTTAAAAAAGAGAAATTCTCCTCTGGTTTAAAAAGAAAAGCTGACCTTCTTTCTCTATTAATAATCAGAAGAAATCCGAAAAAAAAAAAGGATTACGATGAAGAATAGCTCCCACCTGCAGCTGCTTCTTGTGAACTGTGAATACAAAAGCGTAACTCACTGACCCAGTTTTCTGCTCATCTACTTCAAGTCCTCAGTTGGCTTGAATTGGTGAGAGCATTTACAAACACAATCTTCCCATACCTTGTGCATATTATGAGATTCAATAAATCAAATTTGGAGTTTAAAACATGCAGAATGTCTTTCATCAGAAAAACAATGTCCTCTAGAAAGTAGCATGCTTCAAAGCAGTGTGAGAGACTTACATTTCAACTCACATATGACGTCTACTGCAGCATTTTCATGCTGCAGAAGACTATACAATAATTTTGTTGATTATAGTACTTTAGCCTCATCTGTGTGCACAACGACAAAGGAAAGGAAACAGAGTTTCTCACTTGTAAGCAAGATGCTGTAATCCAGTTTAAATGTTGCCCAGCCTACCAGCAAATCCAAGAGCAACAACATTTATGGAGATTTATTATTGTTGTTAAAATGGAGCTGATATTGTTCACTACTGCCGTATGATTGGACACAAGGAGGAATTTCTGCAAACTCAACCATTCCAGATAACCAGCCAAACTTTCTTAGACATAACTTCATTAACTGGAATTACCTGCTTATTGATTATGTAGGGACGGAGTGGATTTAGTCATTTGGATTCTGACTAATTGAACCCATTTGTTTTTGTGCAGTGCCTTGAAATAACAATTATTGTATATATTTTGGTGTACTAGGTAAAACTTAAGTAAAAAAAATTAAAATGCTTAGGCTAACAAAATGTAGCATGAACAAGAATAAAATTTGTATCTATAAATTGTTTTAATAGATCTTATTGTTAAATATATGGTCCCAGACAAACTAACCAGATCAATTTTTTGTTTATTTTTTTGTCATTTTGCTTTTTATGCACCATTTGCATTGACAACATTAAAACCTTTTCAGACTGAGTGCAACACATGCTGGCCTCTCTCCTGAGGGCCGAAGTCATGAAGGGCAAGGAGACAGGTGGACTTTTCACAACCTTCAGCTTGTCACTTCTGCAGACAGGAGGAGCATCCTATTTTATATGCAGTGGCCATGCAGACAGAACAGTTCTGCACAGTCAGGTGTGCTCCAGTCCAGTTTTTTTCTGTCTTGGGGGAAACCTCTTAATTAGCTCCACACGTGTTTAAAGTGTGACTCGTTTGGTCAAAGTCCAACTTGGTTCTTAAACACCTCCCTCTCCCCCAATCTTAAGATTCATGTCTGAGTAAAACACAACAGCATGCATTTTGTTTCCTATCCCAGAAAAAAACCATATTAACTTGATCAAGTTAAAAGTCATTAAATTTAAAGCGCGTCTGTATTCTGATGGTTACGGTCATGCCTGGACATGAAAAAAACAAAAAAAAACCCACTTTGTGTCAAAATCCGAAGTCTGCACAGGGAAAACCCTTTTTTAAACTGCATATTTTCCTTTGACTATTTATTAATCTTTCTTTCAAACACATCCTTTTAATAATATGTAAAAAGAACATTTGACTGCAGAGGATTTGAACATGCAATACTGCCAAATATTAAATCAGACTGTGTACGTTTGCTTGGGGAGGGGCTGTTGATATGCGTGTCAAAGGTTTGGAGGCTAAACCAAAGCCATGCACGCAACCTTTACTACTGTTAGTTTTACTATATTTAGTAGAAACACTGTTTAAACACAGAGTGAGAAAACTTGAATGTACTCTTTGCAAAAGGTGCAACAATCGATTGCTGGGCAAACAGGACTGGAATTATGGATACAAAAACGCCAATCTTAAAGAACAATAGCAAAGACAGGAGAGACTGCTCAAATGTTTCAATTTCATTTTATTTTTTTAAATGCAAAAGTAATTTGTTTTTACGCACTGGCTGCAAAGTGAAATCCCTGTAAAAATCTACTTTAAGCACTCATAACGCAACTAATGTAACAAGTGCAGTGTAAAGTAAGTGTCGAGGCAGAAAATCGACTTTGTTGTCGAGTGACAAATAAATTAGGCGAGCTAATGCTAACCTATTGGAACAAGTACCTGGTCAGATGACATCCTGGTCTGGGTGGCGATGCACCTCTGCAGGCTTCCCCTCAGAAACAGTCGCGCCATTTACCTGTCAGACACAACCAAATTCCGCCCCGAAAAACGCAAAACCTGGGCCACCTTCTCACCCAACAACTTCGAGTCAGAAAAGCGGAAATTTGAAGTAAACGTGTCTAAACTGGGCGTGGAGAAACTCCAACTGAGAGAAGGAGCGTGTGTGCTCAGCGCTGCCACCGCATGGCGAGGGGGAGAACTACAGTGGAGGAATTCATGTTGAAAATGTTGTAAGATTTGTGTAACGGTGAGCACCTACACACATTCAAATGTGCTTAATTATGTTTTGATAAATAACAATAATAATAAAAAAACACCAAATAATACAAAAAAACCCCAAAAAACAACAACACTGCTTTGTTAATGGATGCACGATTTTAATGAATTTGGCGCAAAACAATCAGGTTATTTCCAAACTCACTTCCTTTTTATTTTGTTTCGTACAGTGGCCAAATGTAAAACTAGCCATTGTACATGTGCCTGACCCAACTTTCACTATATTGTATATAATGAACAGCATAATAACAAAGCGCCTTGCATGAACATGTGACCATAACAAGATGGATCATCAAGAAAATAAACACTGCAGTAAAAATGTATTATACCCTTGATTTTTTCATAAATGTAATTGATTTTTATTGGGTTTATTGCAGGCTGCATGGTGGTATAGTTGGTAGTCATTCATTGTCTTGTTAAACAAGAAGGTCATGGGGTCAAATCCCAACCTGCAAGGAGTTTACATGTTGTTCCCATGCATGCATACTCCATCTTCCTCACATCTTTCAAAAACAGGTTAGTCTAATCAGTCCCAGTAACTAATTGTAACATGCATGCATGGTTGTTTGTTCTGCATGCCTCTGTATTGCCTTGCCCTGCCATTTCCTGGTTTCCTGGCAGCTTTTAAAATAGTTTCTTGGTATGGTTTGACTGAACAACGCTCAGACAGAAAACTTGTTATATTGTTTAATTAAAAAGCCCTACTTTATTTTCACAGTGCAAATGCAGTGTAAAGATTTTTTGTTACAAAACCTTTAGAAAATCATTCATGCCTTTCCTTCGGCTTCAAAAACATGCACTATTTTGCAGAGGGCTATTTCCTAAAGTCCAAACATCATTTGACCAAATGTAAGGATTTAATATGAGAAAATGTAAATCTAGCCACTGTACATGTGTCTGACTGTCATTTTTTTAGATATCTAAAGTCTACCTTCCTCTGAAAAGGAGCAGGTAAGGTGGACGATACTGAATACTGGAGGAAAACCTGTTAGAGCCTTGAGAAAGACAACAGTAAAGATACAACCAGAACTGCAATGGAACAGTTTAAATAATTTCTAAAGTCTTAGAATGGCTTAGTGAAAGTCAAGATCTAAATACAATGGACTAATTATGTAAGGGCTTAAAGAAAATTGCTGTCATGCATACTGCATACATAAAAAAGCGGGAACATGTAAATAAAATACAAAAAAACCTAGAAGTAGGAAAACTTTAGCAACTGATGGACACAGTTTTTGATTTTTTTTTCGTAATTGTACATTCCTTCTTAGTTTGCACAGAGATTTAATTTGAAATAATATTTAAATCTAAGGCAAAACAAAGAAATTGGCACTTTTTTCTTCTCTCCAAGCAATAATTCAGCTTCCGGACCATTGTGGAGGTGATTAAATCTTTCATGTTCACCCAGTACGAATTCCTTCAACTCTAACGCAGATAAGTAGGAAAACAGCCTTCTGTTTCTTTTCACAGATTTGTCCCTCTGTCTGATGTCATTTTACTGACGTTTGAAGCAATACAATTACATACAGAGGGTGCTCGTCTCTCGAGTGCTGGATGAGACACTCTCAGCACCACAAAGGCAGGCTTCGCACTGCGAGGATAGGAGGTGGGTGTTCAGTACAGATGAGTCATGTCGGAGTTCCATTGATGAAGAGCACCCCAAAGCCCAACAGAGCTTAGCCCAGCACAGAGCCGCATGAGCTCACCATCACCGATGAGCCCGTTTCAACGTCTGAATCCACGGGAGGTGAAGGTCGACGAGCCAGTGCTGGCGTGGGGTTTTGTGCTGATGACGTACTGCATTGTGCCAGTCTATTGAGCCCAGAGATGACCCTGATGATGTGGAAGCGCTTTGCTGCCCCACCGTTTTGTGCAGCATCCTTGGTCTGTAAATAAAGACAGGAAAACAGAAAACAGAAAGGTTGAAGGCCTGCTTGGGCCTTAGAGATACTGCAGGAGAAAAGGAACGAGCAGCTGAAGAAATACTTGTGCTGTTAGCTTCTTTTCCGACGTTTATTTCTGATTACTGAGTGACATCTTTTTCTCAGATGCGACAGGAAGCAGCCCAAAAGAGGCAGTAGCAGCTCTGCAACAATTGGTGGCAGTGTGTACTTGTGTAAGAAGAGATCATCTACGGTAAAATGAGTAGAAAATAAAATAAAAAACTGACTGCATGTCTATAGGTTTAGTCATGCTTTATTCTTGTTATAAACCCTGCAACCAATATGTATTTTGCATTGTCACACATACACATCCAGGTTTGCCACTTTAACTTGTGCAGTCATAATGAAAGCATCAAGTTCTTATTGCAGTAATTAAATTAAATAATATTGTCTTTCTCTGCCAAATATCACAGAGTTCTCATTTTGTCTCAAAAGCAGATTGATTTTTTTTTCACGTTTGCAGAACATTATGTGCAGAGTGAGAGACCAAACATGAAGACGTGATGTCTACATATGAAACAAAACTCCAGATGCATTTGATGAATGCATGGAAATGAGAGAAATAGTTCAATTTCCACACAGTTTATTCGGGATGCAACACAAAAAAGACAATAAACGTATAATTTTTGCATAATTTACCAAATGCATGATTGCATATTGTATGTAGCTGCATTAGTTTCACATGTGTTACAATCTGTGTTGTATATCTACTAAATAAAGTTTTTCTCCTGCAGCCTTTTTCCATGTTTCTTCGCTCTTCTTTTCTATCCATGACCAAATATGGACTTCCAGTCCACCGGATGCACAGCAGCCAGTTACCTAAATGCTGTCTGAGCTGAGCGCCTCAGTGGCTCAAGTGTTGCAAGAGGAAACTGTATGCTGCCAGCAGCGCTAACCTGAGCAAAGACAGAGTAAGGTCATACAGATGAGATAGAGGGGTACAATGCAAAGGTCCTGTTTCATAATTTCTGCCTGCAAGGATGATCATTTAAATAATTTAAAAAGCTTGTTTCTAGCATTTTGAATTTAATTTGCATGATTCCATCAGCAGAGCTTTTTAGTCCTGCAGGCTTTATAAATTCACATGTTTGTCATGGATAAAGCTTGTAGTCTGCTTTCGTTTGCCAGAGCATCAATGATTTGAAAGAACATCTCAGCAGTCATATCTGCAGGATAATAGCAGAGTGATACATTTTGCTCTGTTTTTGATTTTAACACACGTAGAAAGAGATGCTGAGTTTGTGAAGGAATGGAATGCATTATTTCTTAAAATGCATAATTGTAATAACCTTTCAAATTTACACTCTTCACGCATGAAATGTTGCCATTTAAAGCATTAGGATAATCTCAATTAAACATTTTCCACATTTAAATGAAATATTATTTATCCAGCCTGTGTCCTAAAACTATCAGAAGCCACAGCTGCATGTTTTCTCTGATGATACAAGACCTGCATTCAAGGGATTTAATCCAGCAAACTTAATTGCACCAAGCTGAATAATTCAGTAAGCATTTCAATCTGGAGAATAAACCCCGCTCAGTTCTCAACTTGCTTTGCTTCATGTGCATACGGCTTTGTCTTTCTCAGGGTCGGCTGGAGCTGAAATACATTGGTGTTAATGGCTCTCATGAGCTGCCTGTTTGCTGCCTCTGTTGCTATGGCGACTACCAGGACCGATAAAGGAGGAGGGGGTCCAGATCCTTTGTGTTCTCTGCATACAAGCTCCTTTCGATGAAGTCGCAGCTCAGATATGACATGCCGAACCTGCTGGCTCTCTGAGAACATCACAAGTTTTCTCCTCCACTTCGGTGCATTTCTCGACTCATCCATGACAGTCACAAAACAGCATGTGCCCTTCTCAAAACAGTTCATTCAAACGGCAAAACGCCACCGACTCGCCTGCAAAAGCCAATCTCTTTCTCAAAATTCTTCGTTCATCCCTCAAAAGTGAAAATCTGTCGGTGAACACCTCAGACTGACAAGCGGTTCTTTCTTTGTGTACGGAAAAGATAGTCAAATTGAAAGGAAAAGACAGCAAAATTGGGGACGTAAGACAACTTCCTTGCAGTGCTGTAAGAATTACAGTCCAGTCGTTCTGTTCCTCCTGACATCAACATTTTGATCAACATGATCAATTGAAAATGTAGGAAACAGCAGAAAATTTCACACCATTACATGCATGGACATGCCAAATCCGATGCAACATTTTCAATAAAAGTGAAAAAACTTTTTGACATGCACGTGACACAATGATTTGAAGATTTATTCATCAGCTGAGACGGACAAAGCAACTGAGAAAACTGCAAAAAAGAGAATTTTTTACTTTAATAACAGATTCTTGAATCAAAACAAATTTTACTGCAGGTTGTTGTAATAATTAAAAAAGTTACATTCATTCTACAGGCATACTGACTGCTTTTACAGATGCAATATTTTTTAAAAGAAATTATTCATATTCCTTTAGAAAGGAATATTAAAATGATTCATATTAAAATGATTCATTTTTGAAATAATATTCTATGTGTTTCTTATTATTCTTTCCAGAAAATGCCTCCTAAATCAAACTTTTTCTCTCAGGTGAATCTTAACCTTTATACAGTTATGCTCAGCAAACACTCACACATCCCAAACAGGAATTTAGAGAACGAGAACTTAACAATCATGCTTTTGGACTGTGGGATGAAGCCGGATTACCTGGAGAGGACCCATGCATGCACAGAACATGCAAACTCCGTGCAGAAAGACCCCGGGCCGGGAATCGAACCGAGGACTCTCTTGCTGCAAGGCAACAGTGTTACCAACTGCACAGTCCACAATTGGACCATTTTGTTCATAAATAAGGTCTCAGACTTTTCATTTAGATGACAGAAACTTTCATAGATATGAAAATTTACTTTGGAGGATTTAACTATTTTGATTAAATGACATGCCTTGGCAGCTAGTTTTTGCAGGTTGCACTAATTGTTTGGAGGAAATGCACTCCAAACAATTAGTGCAACCTGTTAATAGTTAATAGTGAGGTGAGAAATGTATCTAGGCAACTGAGGAAACCTATAATTTCACCCTCTGATGGAGAGTATTATTCTCTATGCTACCGCATTCATCTGAGGGTCAAACAAATAGTTTGACCCTTTCTCATTACTCAACAAAACCAACAAAATCTTTTGTCGGTTTTGTTGGTAAACCGATAAAAGGCCCAGAAAACGTACATATGCATATATCTAAATAAAGGAATAACTTAGCTCACTTCCTTTGAAAACAAAACCCTTGTATGTGCAAGTAACCCACATCATGTAAATTATATGTTTGTTTTCCTTCCTGAATAATTTTTGCTTTATTTTCAACTTTCATGGCCGAAATATAGTCCGTTCAGGTGATTTCTATGGTGCAAAATATCACTTTAAATTGCATGGCTAATAACACTGAAGACAGTCATTTGATTCCATAAGTGCAGTCAGCCCAGGGGGTTAGCATATCATGGGAACAAAGTAATGCACCGCAGGATTTCAGCTCTCAAGAGCATGTCGGCATTTCGGTGTGACGCACAAGCACAGCTGTAATCCAACACAGCTGACTTCTTGCCTTTCAGAGAAAAACCCACATAAGAAGGAGGTCCATTTCTAAATGCACACTGGTTCTTTAGTTCTTCTAATCACTAGGGAAAGTGCAAGGAAATCAAAGGATGTGTGGGCAAAAGAGAATATGCCAGTGTGAGTATGTATGCATTAGATTTTAAGGTCAGCAAGAGACCACTTAGTTTCCTCTGCATCCCTTCTTATCAAGTTTGCACCTGAGTATTTTCTCACAAGATTATGTGATTTCCTCAAAAACAAAGAGGTTCTGCATCAGAAATGGACCAACAGAAGCTCAGGCGTTATAAAGTCTGGTTTTATTTGTTACACTTTGACAGTTAAGCTTCATCTCAAACTTGCTGAGCTGGAGATGATAATTCTCAAGTTCATGCTGCTTCGTTCTCCGATTATGCACAGTTTGAAAAAAAAAGAGAAAAAAAAATGTGCCAGCAACTTGGGTATTGTCAGAAATTTTTAGTAAGGAGCTATCTTTTTTTGTATTGTCTGATAAATGCAGATAAGATGCAATGTTTTTTAGCATGCATTGGTTTTGTTGTTCTAATCATAGCGATTAATCTTGTTTTTTTTTCCCCCAGCCTGATGTTTTTTAGGATCTAATGTTGCATTGCTAAAATATCTGGTTAAGACGGCTCTTCAGTGTTCTTGTTTTCCACCAAGGTGCTAATTAAAATTGGGATTCATGTTGTTTGGGTGTTGAATTGGGAATTGTGTGCATCTGTTTCAGTAATGAGGCTTGGGGATGTCATCAGCTTTGGGATTCAGATTTTGATATAAACAAACATGCATACACAGAATGTATGAATTTGCTTATAATTACTGTGACTGCAATTGAATTATCGCTGGGACTGAAATAAGCAAAATAGCTGGAAATGTGCAAAAAATTATATTTACTGAGAGTAACTTCCACATTTACTGCAGATTAGGTAAAACCCAAATCTATAATTTGAGTGCTCTTGACCTTTTGTATTTTTTAAGATTGGTTTTTAGTCTTTTTCTTAAGTTTTGGATTGATTAGATTCTCTTGTAATCTACTTACTTTAGCTTCTTTGCTTCATAGTTTCAGAAATGACTCTTCATTGTGGCTTGTCACATGCATGTTCTTTTTATTTATGAGGATGAGAACACTTCAGGGCTGCAGACATAAATTCAAGTGAGACCATCATCCATTTCCCCCCTGCTTTTTAATACCTCTTTGTATTTTCAGCCACTCTGTTCTTTTGCACCTCATTACACCAAAGAAATAAGAACGATAGGCGACAAAGCAGAAAAACTGTCGAATTCGCTCCAACATTAGGTTGCTGATTGTCATCATCATTAGCAGGCTGTTCAGAGTTTCACTTTGACGACTTGTGGTGGGGAAATAAATTAGCACAAAATGTTCAAACAGTCTGCAAAGTTATGCAAACGAAATCAGGGGAAAATGGTTGTGTCATGTGAAGATGTGATAGCTGTGAAAATAAAACATGAGGCGAAGAACCATTTTTAATCAGACTGATCTGCTCTCTGATTGACCTCATAAAAATGAGCAGAGCTGCCAAAAGGAATCATGTAAATCTCCGTTCTGCTTATGCCTCACAGCAACATTAATTCAGCAACACTGAATTAAGAAAAAAGGACAAGAAGTGATTAAAAGAGCAACGAGAGCGGGATCGGACAATATTGAAGATGAAGCAGGCAAATCTACATTTGAGCCAACTCCTAATTTTAGAAATGATTCTGGCCCCTGTTAATTCTTTTTTTCTCATTACTCAACATCGCAAGTTGTTTCTCTCTTGATGATGATGTGCCGCCTTTCGAAGGATGGAAATAGAACAGAAGAGAATTACACTTTCATCGTCTTAAATGATTGCTGTTTTATGCACCTGAAAATAACGGCTATATTTAGAGAGCAACATGTTCACCTCAAGCTTTAATGCTGCTGGAGTTCAACATCTTACAGCTGCATTTTTTTGTGTGTTACTTGAGCATGAAGTTGCACTTTTAGGTATTAGTTCCTGTATTTTTTTGCCTGGGTTATCTCTAGGTAATCTGGCTTTCTACTCTTGCAGATGTGCATGCATGTTGAGTTAGTCTCCGGAAAGCTACATGCCTTTTCCTTTGGTTAATACTACTGCCTTTGGTGAAGGAATGCCCCATTTCTCAAAATATTGAATTATCTATTAAATTGCAATTGGATGGGGAGATGATTAATAGGGTCAGGGATAACTCTTAGAAATGGGTTTCAGTCATGTGAGACCGAATAATGCGCATTTTTATGTGCTTCATAATCCTCTCATCTTTAAGGTTATCTCTGTTGCTGTGCAATTCTTTGGCACTTTTTCCTTACACTAAGCTTTTTTAAATTTCTTGGATGGCGCACTCTGCTAGTACATTTTGTTTCTTACCCTCCTTGTAGGAGTCAGTGAGTATCAACATTCATTTGAATGATTTTTCTTGGACATAGATTTCTACATGAAAAATGCTGATTGCAGCATTATTTACTATCCTGTTTTAAGTACTTTGATTTTTGAGTTTTCATTAAAATGCAAGTTTTTGATTTAAGTTAAATGAATTAGCCATTCTAAATTATTGCCATTAAACTGAGTCAATTTTATGAGTTTTTTTTTCCTTAAGAATGTTTAAAGATGAAGAAATAATAAAAGAGAAAAAGGTTTATATTATTTGATATATATATGTGTTTTATTAGAAATAATTCACATTCATTTTTGTGCTGTGAAAACTGTACATTGACACAGTTTAAAACAGAAATCTTGACAAGAAAATATTCAACACAGGTAACTGAAATTGGGTTTTGGGCAGGACAAGAAAATTGAAAAAAATAAAAAATAAAAAGAGAAAAAGACGTTAGGAATTGGCTGGTAGAACATACAGTCGAGTTATAGTAACACACTGTTACAGAAGACATGAGGATCTATTACTCACTGCTTTACAGCTGAGAGCAATGACAAATATCCTGAAGAACAGTTAGGAGATAATCAGAGGCTCATTCACTCTATATTACTTTTTTTTAAAATATAGAAGTATGATCAACTTTCACAGAGAACTCCAAATATGGAGTCTTGTGCAAACAAATCTCTACTGAATAAATTCCTAATATAATATTCTCATAAAGCATCTATGTGCTCTGTAAATATATATGGAAGATGGTATAAAAATTTTGAAATATCGGTAGGAAAAAACTCTGCCTAGATCATAATGTCAGTCATTGCTTGAGCATCAAGCGCCCATCATATTGCACTGTTACACACTGATGGCTGAAAACACAAAATGTGTTGAAGTCTCTGCTCAGTCCAAGAGTCCTGCAAGGCTGAGAAACAAAGAAGGGCGATGATGAAAAGGCTTTTTAAAATCCGCATGTACGACATGGAAGAGAGCCTGCGTCTTTGTGCCAGTTATTCATCCAGCAATTCCCAAGAGAAGCACTGCTCTTTCCGTGTGAGAGTCCGTGTTCATTCCTGTGCTGGTGTTTTGGTATCAAAGCGGAATACTGTAGAAACTCAACCAACCAGCGCCTCCATCACCACTCAGTATGTTTTTCCCAATGCAGTCCATATGGGCTCACAACACATTATGGATGCACTAAAGCCAGTTGTTTTTCTGTTTTTTTGTATAACAGAAAACAATAGTGATAAATAAAAGGAGAGATAAATCAAAAACATAGACATCGCACTGGAAATAATCAATATTAGTAATGACGAACACAGTGACTAGCACAACAAGTTTGACAGAAATGTTTCAGTCTCATCAGAGTCTCATTTTCTGCTTGAAATTGTTGGATTCAGGTGCTAACAAACTCAATATGAGGAAAAGAAAGCCCACTGCACAAAAACAAACAAAAAAAGTGTGCGCCCATCTATCAAAAGTGCACAGTATTGGAGTTTTGAGATCCCTTTTTTTTCTTTTGCCTTTGTCTTGTTTTGGAAGAGAGTCCCGACTGTGCCTCCCGAGAAGCAGGGAGGACACGCGCCGCTTTTAAAATTTTCAATGTTACTTAATTTTTTTCTCCAAAGTCTATTTGAAGGAAAAAAAAGAGAAGCACAGACATGTCGAGCACATCTTCTGAAAACCCCAGGCTGCAGGGGTCCAGGAAAACTCCCTGGGGGAAGCGTCTATGGAGCCACAGACAGTCCAGCCGGTGGACGCCACTGACCGCTCCGCCAACCCCTTCTCTGAGCTTTAGGAGCTCTGATGAGAGTCCGCACTGAGAAGCTACATTAAACATCCCCATTGCCATCAGCCCCACTCTTACCCAGCACTCTTCCTACCCTTACCACTCTGGCAAAGGGTTTGAAGACAATGATTCCGGGACCCATTTCCTCCCTTTTTTGGTTGTGCTACTTTCATCCATGAAAGGATGCCATTCCCAAACCAAAAAAGGTGACAGAGGTGAAACAAGGTGGCTTCACTTGGCCTCCCTACTTCCCCTCAGACCTCTGTTTGCAGGTCAATAATGTCCTGCCCCACCAGTGGGATGGTGGTGCTCGTCTTCTCCCACTCCACAGAGTGAAGCTCCAGAGGCGAGGCGGCGAGAGGCTCCATGTCTTTGCGCACCCATGCGGGGGGCGACTGAGGAATCCCCCGGACTCCTTCCCAGGACCTCTCCATTGGAGCCTGCTGTTTGTCCTGTTGGAGCAGAAAGAGAGTAGTGTTTAGGACTGATGTCACTCCATCAAGCTGGAACAAATACATTATGTAAATTTAAAAAGTGAAATGAGTTTCTAATGATGGGAATCGGAGAAATAACTCCCGCTTTGAGGCATTGAACTATCTGAAGATGTGTCTCATCTACGGGGAAGACATTTAGAGAATGTGAGGTTATATATAAACACTCACGCTGTGGTTTGTTTTGTCACTTCCTCCCGAAGACACACTCCATCTCACAGACTGAAAGAAGGAAGAAAATACATCCTTATTCAAATGACCTCCAGGTACCCAACAACATTAGTTCAATACACTATGTTGCTCTTTATTTATAAGGTCATTTTTTTCTTAATTCTTCTTTCTCTGGGATTATTGCCTCTTGTTGAGTATTGGTTCATTATTTCCTGCAAATGACAGTGGAAGCAGATGGAGACAGTAGTCTGATGAGGTCTTACCTTGCTGTCAGATGGAGGAGATTCCCTGTCTTTCTCACTGTGATGCAACTTCCTGTTCAGGTCCTGGAACATGTTCTGGTGGCGCTTCTTGGTGTGCATGATTTTCTAGAGAAGTCAGAAAGCAATATTCCCAAAATTAGCACCTCCAGAAATGTGAGTTGTGAATTATGAGGAATAAATGATTAATTAGCAAGTTCTGCTATAATAATAACAATAAAATTTATATTTACCTCAAAGTCCAACTCTGCATAACGGGATTTCTGTCGCTGTAAATCAATAACAGAGAAAAAACATGGAGTTTAGACTTTGAAACATGTTGATAATGCTTTAGAAAATGTATAAATAGCAGGTTTTTCTCTTCCTACCTCCAGGGAGCTCATGGAGAGAGTGGAAATGGTCTCGCTCTTCGACATCATTGAGTTCATGGACTCGAAGGTGTTCTCCAGGCTGCTGTGGGTGATGTGCGACTCGCTGGACATGTTGTGGATGTTCTGGATGGGCGAGTCCCTCTCTGAGTAGGACACGCTGACCTGGTCTGGCGGGATCGAGCCCATCCCGAAGGCGGCCTGGGGCTCAGCGAAGGGTCCGCCGAGGTGCATAAGCCTGGCCTGCGGCAGCTGGTCCACGCTGATGTTGTACTTTGTGGGGTCGTCTTTGGGCTTGGACCTCAGGGTGGATGTAGTGTTGGGCATCAGGACGTAGCCGCTGCCGTCGGACATGCTGCCCTCGGCCTGAGCCAGAGCAAGGTCTGCATCCAGCTGCTTGAAGAGCTCCCCCTCGCAGACATAGACGGGGTTCCCGCAGGATGGGTCGACTCCACCGGCCAAGCGGCTTTTCTCTCTCTTCAGGGTGAGCGTGTGGCTGGAGTACTCGGGAACGGCCTGCATGTGGCTGCCCTTGGATGGTAATGTGTGGAAGTTGGAGCCCATGGGAAGTGGCATCTGAGGAGGAGGCATTTTCTCTTCGGAAGAGCTCTTCATTCCTTTAAGGAAAAACAATAAAAGAGTTATAAAAAAAAAAACGGAACGATTTCTTGAATGAATCGCTAAATCAAAGTGTTTCAAGCCGAGATGTCTTAGTTGCTGGGCTTACCTTGTCTGTTTGAGTCCCCATCCTTTTCATTATCAGACTGCTGATGAAAGAACAAAAATCCTATTAGTGCTTAATGCATGCATATTTTCATTTAGGAATAAATCCAAAAAGCACGCAAGACATTAAATAGGCAATCGGCCAAGATATTCACCATGTGCTGAGGATGGCCGTTGTGATGAGAACTGCCAGAGTCTCCATTCCCATCGTCTTTGCGGTCAACTACTCTGCACTTCACAGCCTCCTGAACCTAATGGAAACACAAGACAATTCAGGAAATTGTTAACAATATTTCAGCTCATTTAACCTGATAAAAAAAACTATAAAATTAACTTTCATTTTCATCTTTATTCCTTTCTATTCATTTGGTTTTATTGCCTTCTTACCTCTCTACGCAGGATGCAGTGGACCATGACAATGATGAAACCCTCCAAAGAGTCGAAAACGGCAAAGAGGATCTGGAAAAGGGCGGAGCGACGGTCGGTGATGGCCAGGACGGCAGACATCCAGGTGAGAGCAAGGAGAGGGAGAACCACGCAAGAGCTCCACAGTGAGGCCCTGGAGGATGTAGAAAAAGACAAAAAAAAAAACATCAGATGAGTCACTGAGTCTCATTCCCAGACTGCTGATTGTAAAAACGGCATAAATGGTGAGGACCAAAAAGACCTACCCAGCTCTCTCCTTCAGTTTCACATCGGTGATGCCGTCCTTGGAAACGAGCTTGTTAAAGACTAGAATACCAATGACCATATTCACCTGTTAGAATGAAAAAACAAAATGTGTTAATTAAACTGTTCAACGATAGGAAATACATTAAAACCTGGAAATTAAGGTCTTTAATACGTACCAAAACAACAGCAGCAGCGGGACCAACAAAAGAGTAGAGAAGTCCACCCTCAAGAGACAACCAGCAGCTATGAGAAAGAAGGATTGATGATGTTAATTATTGTTTAATCAAATAAGAAACAGAAGAAGAAAACTATGAAGCGAGAATAGGAACTTACTAGCTGACGGTGCCATATCCCTTAGCTTTAGTGAAACCCACGGACACAGCAACGACCAGAGCAGGAAGTCCTGCAATGAAAGAGAGATAAAGCATTACAATTACTGCCATTAGGATACAGGAAAAGTTATGCAAAGCTGACAAGAAATAAGATGCAATAGGAGACTTGTTCTCGTACCCCAGCCTAAGCACAGGAAGCGCTTGCGGATGATGCGGTTGCGCAGACGACCAGTGACAGCCATGTAGGACTGCCAAGCTTCTGTCAGGACCCAGCAGAAAGAGGAGAGGAAAAAGAAGTGGAGCAGGGCAGCAACAAGAGTGCACATCACCTGCAGGGAGCCGGGATGAAGCAGAGAGAGAAACGGTTAGAAACCTGTTTCCAAAATATCTAGAGGCTGTAGGTTAGATTTGGACTGCGGCTTACCTTGTTGCGAGCCTGGGTTTGTCCGATGAGAATGAGGGCGTTGGAGCAGATAATGGAGAGGCAGAAGTTGATGAGAATAACAGAGCGCTCTGAGCGAATGTACCTGCAAGTGAAAAAAATATATGAAAAGGTTTAAGGGTTGGATGATAAATCACTACGTATCATGTAATATCAGAGGTTGATTTGCTCGAAGGAGTGCTTACTTCCAAACCGAGACATAGATGATGATGAGGAGCAGCAAGGTGAGGGAAGAGACCCCACAGCCGACGATGAGGGTAACGGACGGGAGGTTTGCTCTGTCCATGTTCTGCAGAGGGAAGAGAAACAGAAAAAAAAAAAGCCTCTTAGCAATGATTACAAACACACATAGGCAGTCACGCACCAGGCACACCAGCTACGCTCACACACAAACACTGGAATGAATAGGAAGCCTCTGGAAGAGCGCTATCTGGAAGAGCAGACAGCTCCCTGAAGGCAAACAACTGAATGGCACAATCGGGCCACGGCTCAGGCAAGGTGACCCCAAGGTGAACGTGTCAGAAAGATGGAAGGCTGAACTAATGAACGGTCGGCTTCGGAGGGGATGAGAAGATGCTGTTTGGCATGTCCTCAATGGACATATTTTGATGTCAACTTGTTTCTCTTCTACCCCTCCGGGGGGCTGCTAGGGAACAGGTGGACCATTATCACCTGTGCATTAATCCGCCACCAGCAGCCCCTTCTGATCTCTGACAGCAACTTAGCGCCTGCACCTGCCGCCAGCGGCGCTGACCGTTCTGTGCTTCAACATGGCTCCTGGCGCCGAGTTTAGTTTGGATTAGTCAGAGCCAGGGGCAGTTTTACCGCCTCGCTGCATGTGCCAGCGGGTCACTCCTGGACGCACAAATCTCAGCTTCACAAAGCCCTCTCGGCGACTAATTGCTGGTTCCCCGTGCTTGTGCATCTCGCACTTACTCTCCAGGCTTTTAAAGAGGCTTTGAGCTACTCTCACACCTCTGATGCAGTTGTCATCACCTCAAAGTGTGAGCAGGATGAGAAATATTAAGGCTCCATCCTTGCTGTAATTATAGCACCATAACAGGGCAAAAAGATGGAAAACCAATGATGTCTTCTTAAAAAGTGACTAATAAAATGTCCTAAAAAAGAGAATATATGTAGGGAATAAACTAGCAGGTTTTTTTTATAGATTGTTTAAGCATTACATGCACTCAGTTGGCAAAATATCAGAATAACATTTTTTTTAAATTGCTTCTGGAGTCAAAATTTTTCATATTTATTAAATGCATCAAATTTAAGAACCATTTATGTTTTTTTTGTTATGGTTGATGGATAAACAGTGATAGTCTACTTTTTTTTTTTTTTTGCTGAAAACGTCAATTGCATCAATGGAGATGCAGCATAATGTGTTCCTTAGGTAGGAAATCATAACTGTCAGGTCAAACCTTCAAAAAAAATCACAAATACTGGTCATAAAAAGCCTGGTTGGAGCATCTTAGGTTATGAGCATAATGTGAAAATGCTTCCCGAATATCAAAGCACAGATGGGGAATTTTGCCTGTGGCAGAAAGAGACTTAATTTAGTGTGGTAAATTTGTTTCAAACTCTACATGAGTAGCATCTCTTGCCAGATGGCAGTTAGCAGAGGGGTGAGTTGTCATACCGCCTGGGCTTGCAGGGAACATGGGGTGTAATACAGTTGATACTGTTTCTTTTCTTTATGTATCTGGGTCAAATCTTGCTCCCTTGGCAAAGTGAGCTTCAGACAGCTAGTTGGACCTAGATATGAAGCATGTCCTTGACCGGATCGCGTGCTCCCATTTTGAATAGTGTGTTAAGTGACACTCTGCAACATCTGGTTGTTGTTTTTTTTTTCTCCCCCCCTAATATTTGCCCCCATTTTCCTGTTTCTGCCACTCAAATCTCACTGGTGTTCTTCATGGAAGACACTGTTATTGAAAATGTCCACAGTGCACATCAAAGGATAGATAAAGAGGCAGGCAATGTGCGGGTGGTGGTGGGGATAAGGAGAAGAAAAAGAAGGGAGTGCATTGCCATCAATGCATGACCAGCCGTCTGTTTCTCATTGGTCTGCCTCTCTGGCATTTTAAATCTTGGCTGCTGCGTCCAAAGTAGAAGGAGAAGTCAAGCAGGAGATGGAGGAGGGTGGGGTGCATGTAATTGAAAATTCAGAGATATTGGCAGAGGGAATGATTGCCTCAGCTGTCTTTTTTCCTTTCTCTTTTCTACTGTGATGAGAGGAGGAGGAGGGAGGTGTTGTTCAGATTGGCAACAGCAAGTCAAGTCAAATCTGGGATGCACACAAACAAGTTGGAGCATGAAAAACACAAAGGTTTTAGCAGTTAAAAGACTGCAGTGCAACGTTATGTGTTGATCTGCAAATTAATGAAGATATCAATGAAAAAAATATATTTGTTAAGATTTCAGCTGAGCATTTTTCTCTGCTTGGAGGTTTTCATGCCTCAAGATGACAGCGGAATGTGGCTGCACAGTCTATATTGTTTTTACGCATGGCATACAGTCATGCAATATGGGCAAAATTACAGCAGTTATTAGAAACTGCCCATTTTCTTTTTCTTTTGGCAAGATTAAAGTGACTTCTGCATGTCTCGTTACTTTGCGCATAACGTTATCATTCTTCTGCAAACATGAACCTTTTAGTAGAAAATATAATAGCAACATGTTCCCCGATTGTTTTTTTTTTTTTTCAGTGGGGAAAAACAAGCAGGTTTTCCGATCCGCGGCACCTGCGCGGAGACAAAGGAGCGCTGCTGCAAAGCCCCTCACTGGAAAACAACAAGTCCCTATCAGCTCAGCTGCTGCTCCGCATTCACACTGCAGAAGACGTTTAGCATGCACATCGTGTCAATGCAAAGAAAAAAAAAAAGGAAAGCAAAGAACAAAAATCAAGCCTTTACAGGGAACAGACAGGAGACTTACCGAGTCGGAGTTGACGTGCGCTAAAATGGCGAAGGTGGAGAGGCTGTCACACACGCATTTGGTTCTGTGTGAATGAACGGGCACCGCTCTGCAGCTCCGAGCAGACCAAGAGCCAAGAAGAGAGGAGCTGCACAGGGGAGAGGAGAGGGGGAGTTAAGAGAGGAGAGATCTGACAAATCTCTGATCTGAGCGTTTTCCTTAAACAAATGTACGTGATGAGCAGATGGGGGTGAATCGACAAAAATAAAGAATAAGAAGAAATTAACTAGATTTTTTTGGTAATCCATTAAAATAAACGGATAGTAAAAATTAATTTCTAAGCTAAAATAATACATATTTTTAATCAGCTTGGGATGCAAAAGTGCATCTAAAGATCCATGTGCATGTGATTAACTGGAATGTTCATAGTGATTAATAGTGAGGGATCTTAACAAATGCCACAATTAGCATAATCCTTATCACACTCTTTCCTCATTACATTTAAATCAGATTCATGGGAAGCAAGGAACAAGGTGTCCCCTCAAGGAGAGCATGGATTAAACATTATGGACATTTTCCCTCACCTTAGAGCTCATAATATGCAACATTTGTTTGTTGCCTCTGCTATCTGATTGGCATCATACAGCCAGCAGTAGCATCTGAATAAAACTGCATAGTGCATATCTGTATAATTCCCATGGAAAGTTGCAGAGTTTTGCATATATTAGTAGGATGCAGTTCAATGGTTCTGGGAATGGAGGTCTTCAGATGAAGAGTCCCCCTCCCCCAAACTCTGCTGTTAGCCAGTTCTTCGTCCTGTCTCTATTGGTGCATTAATCACATTTGCTGTTTAAACTGAATCTAATTTGACTGAAGGCGTATGGGCCCCCCTCTGAAAGTTTACGAGGTAATTACATTTTCTTTCCTAATCTTGCTTACCTCAGCTCTGGCTACTGTGTGACAAGGGCTGGTTGTTTTGCATTTTTACCTCTTATTGTTCTTGCATATATCTTTCAAAGCTCAAGAGGTCTACCTCTGTAATAGTTTTGAAGTCGGATGATTTAAAGTGTTGGACACTGAAATGAGTTTGAAGCCACCCTCTGTGAGTGACAGGGGGCTTTTATTTCTTGACTGTCTGGGTGTCTATAAGTGTGTCAGACAGGTGATTAAGTCTGAGACTCAGGGGTCAGCTTGCACATGTACTGGTTTTTCTTTGCCTTGTCATAAAGGGCTGACAAGAAAAAGCTGGAATCACCATTTCCTTTCCTCTTACAATTTTGTATAAATGGTGACAGGTGTGTGCCTGAAAAGAACCAGACAGGCTGCACCATTTTAACTGGAAAGGCCATCCCTTTCAAAAGAAATAAATAGATGAAAGTGATGGTCAGATGCACATTCACGGGAAAAAAACCCATCGGTTAACACTTACGTTTCACTCTCATCCCATGAGAGGCATGTTTCATTGATGGTGTCCTGCAAAGAAGAGGCAGATGGAGAAGGTTAGTGTGAGGAATCTCTCTGTAGAAAACGAAAGCATGTAAGCTGGGACACCTTACTACAAAAGTGTGAGATGCAACAGCTTGCTGGTAGCCACATGCCCAGTTTATTTCACCCCCTTGTCTGTGATGCATTAATGAAACCAAAAGCAGCCATTTATCAGCTGCAGACTCTAAATATTGCGCATGATTTCTCATCATCGAGGGACCGTTTGGTCGCTTATGAGATTCTCTCTGGGCTTCAGCTGCCACAAGCTGACGCAAAAGTCAAAGTGTCGCAGCAAATGTCAGGAAAATGTCAGTCTTTCTGCATTGTGCTGCACAAACACCCACAGGGAGGCTGATATTTTTCCATTAGGTTGATCATTAGGAACTCACGTTGCGCAGGTGGGGGAACTCGATCTCGACAGGGGTCGACAGGAGAGATGGGGCGGGGCTGACAATCACGGTCACCACCTTGGAGTTGAACAGGGTGGTGTTACTGTGAAGAAAGAGCACACCTCATTGTTAAAGCTTGATCTTATATGTGTAAAACTGTGAATTAGACTGCAGGAATATGGAGTGTTAATGATTAAACAGAGCAATGTTACCTCTGGAAGGACATAATTGAAGAAAGGTTTCTGTACAAGACAATGCCGGTCACAAAAGCATCATTGGCATCTGAAAAAAGGAAACAATCTCACTCAGTCTTTAAGCTAAACCCACTGGTTTATTGTTTGACAAAATGTTACATTTGTATGATCTTACCAGCGGATTTGAGGGACAGAGCATCGCGGGAAACTGAGATCTTCTCCTCTGAGGTACTGACCCAGTCCGGCCTCCCTCTCCAGCCCTTCACAGGGAAGGTAAAGTTGGAGGTTGTGGCTGTTGGGCGCTTGTGGATGCTCAGCACTAAAAGGCACAAATGATCATATACAAAGGAAACTTTGTTAGCAGGAAGCACTCATTGGTTCTAGCAGCCGATGGACTTGAATAACTAATGCATTCAGGCGTTGAAAGAAAGACGAATTTACAGGGCTCACCTAAATTCTCAGTGACTTCGTAAATGTCCTGAAAGCCGCTCATTTGTACTCCGATCATGTTCACAAACTCCTCGACAAGGCGGAGGAACCCCTTGATATTGGCACCCATCTATGTGAGAGAAGATGGAGACAAAAAGAAAAACATCAAAATATGGCAGCATATAAATCTGGTTTATTTGCTCAGTCAAGCAGAGCCAGTTTAATGATTATTTATGGATGTGCAGGTTCAAGCCAGTACTTATTATTTCAAAGTGCACAGAGGCTGACAGAAAAAAAAACATGGAAAAACGCACAATTCTTGCTGCTATGCAACCCCGGAACATCCATACGGCCATAAAAGGGCAGGCTGCTGATTCATACTCTATTTTTTTTGTCCTTTCTCTTTTTCTCTCAGTGAAAAGGGAGGCCACCTGACTTGCGTGTCTCTGACGCAGAGAAGCATCGATGTGGGCGTGAGCTGCATGCGATGTTCTATCTGTGTTTCTATACAGCAGTAGCTGTCGGTATGTGGGATGGCATGGAGACGCACAGATTGCAGAGTGGGAGTAGTGATTTTCCCTGATTCAGAGAGACAGTGGCCTCAGTAACTCGTCCTCCTGCTCTCAGATCAGTTTGTGCATGACAGTGTGAGTTTATTACAACTTTTTTTTTTGGAGGCTGGTCTTTCTTGGGAAACTTGCAGGAACATTACAAGCGTCATTGGAGCGCGGAGGTGGTTTGTCGACAGTTGGCCGAACGTGACAAAGTTCTGTTAGGGCCATTCTGAGTTTAACAAACTGGATGAGTAAATGTCTCATACATTTTGTTTTGAAACTTCTGCTTAAATTAAAAGCTTTGGATGAATGGATATTTCCACTGCACGTGTAGTCTCTGTCCTGATTTTGTACAATCTCTTCTAAGTATTTTCTGAGATTTATTCTCCACCCTGCTCATCCTATTTAGGTAACTTCAACATAATAGATTTATTTTTTTCCCTTTTCCCTTTGTGCACTCATACAGTCACACCTGGTTATCACATACCAGTTGTGCCTCTTCCCAGTTCTCGTGATGTTCCTCCTTCAGTAGGTTGCTGATGGTCTGGACGTAGTTCTGCAGATCATCAAATACAAAGGTAGAGGTGTGAGAAGACACCGAGTCCATCTTGTTCAGATGCAAGTTGGTCCTTAAAAATGCTGAAATCCAAATTTAAGGATCTCAGTTGGAGCTTACCTCAACGTCAGCGTTGCTCAGCCTCAGTCTGGTTGCCCTGTACAACTCTGTGGTGTTCTTCAGGATCTCCATTATGGCCAAAAGATCACCGCTGTACTTGGCTTTTTCATCAGAGGAAAATCTCAAGCGGGAAATCACCTCGGCAACGCCATCAACGCTTTGCCCGATCTGCGCTTTGGAGGTGTAGTCCCTTGACTACAGAGATAGAGTTAAAAGGTTATTTCTAATATTTTACTTCACATTAAATCCAATGAGTAGTACTTTATTGATAATGTTAGGGGGCATACCAGCATCCGAATGTTCTCGTAGTTCTTAGAAACACATTGGGTGTAAGTGGGGTTCTCCCAAGAAGCAAGACGTCCATCAACAAGGGTGCAGCGACGCAGAATAAGGCCTATTGATGAGATGAAGAACTCTTGGTTTAGTTTTAAACTGATATTTGAAAATCTAAAGTTTAAAGTTGGCTTCCAGGCTGTCAAAGTACCTGAGGCATCAGCAGGGCAGGAAACAGCAGCGACATCTCCAGCGGGGGTTTTCTTCCAAACAATGTTTCCGGTGTTCTGCTCAGGACAGATCTCATGGGGCTCTAAAAAAAAAAAAATCACAACCAGTTGTTGCATGAGTTTCCTGTTTGCTTTTGGATTTGTGAAACAATGGGATTAATCTATTGTGCTGCAGACACTAACCAGGGCATCTCTTCTCATTGCAGCGCATCTGTTCTCTGGTGTCACCAGGGCAAGGCTCTCCTCCAAAGAAAGGCCCTTCACAGACTCTCTGTCTCTGCTGGATGCCTCCACCACAGGTCTTGCTGCAGCTTCCCCATGAGCTCCATGGATGCCAGGTTCCATTAACTGTAGATAAAACACCATTAATTCTGATCCTGTTAAATAAAAAGCAAACCTTGGATCTGGGATGTACTTATAACTCACCGGGGCAATCCTTCAGGAAGCAGTTTGCTGTCTCTTTCCAGCCTCCATGGCACTCTGAGCCGCCATACGATGGCCCGTTGCACTCCCTGGTTCTCTGCGTGGTGCCATTGGAACAAGAGGCAGAGCAGGAACTCCAGGCGGACCACTCATTCCAGGATCCGTCCACTAGAGGGGAGCAGAGGAGCGTGCATGAAGAAGAGTTGTGAGGGTGGCAAGGACAAGACAGACCCTCGGGCCACACCAGACATCTTGACAAACTCACTGATGCTATTAACATCTCACATGACCCAGTTAAGCTGAGGGTAAGCCGAACAGAAAGTTGGATCTCTGTTATGCGCCCTTCAACTATCAAGTTCAAACTCTAATAGGCAATTTGGAAGTTTAAACTGGATAATAATTTCAGACAATTTATGGATGCAATTGCAGTTTTGAGTTTTTAATTAAACTGAGTGACAGATTTTTCAGAAAAAGTAATATTCATTTAATGACAAATAAATTGGTCACTTGATCCTGGCTACAAGCTCAGGACATATTAAAATGCATGTAAAAACAATTTAATTACATTTATTATTAAGCCAAAGTGGATGTTGACATAACGTTTCTATTACAGCCAAGTCTGTTGGTAATCACAAACTTAATTTCCTTTGAGTTTCAACTAAAATACACAATCATCTTGTAGTAATGACTTTTCGCTTTTCCCCGGTTTCTTTTTTTTTTAATTATTATTATTTTGTTAAACAGAGACACCTGGTGGTGATGAGGTGAAACTGCAACAAATCCATACTCATTTTAAAAATGAGTCTAATTGTCGTGTAAATGACGACAGTGAGATACGGGGGAAAAAAAATCAGTAACTTCAGAGGTGAAACTTTTCTGCACATGAGTAGGTGGCTCAATAGGAGAGTGACTTAAACTTGATCAAGTGACCATGAGCGCAGACTGAGTCACAGGCAGCTGTTAGGAGGCCACTGACTAACATCCACAGACGCTTTTATCCAGGTGAGTCAGATGAAATTGCAACCTGCCGTTGTGATGATGCAGACACAATTGGGTGACTTAATTAGGCTCTCATAAATGAATCAGTCAGATGAAGGGTTAAGCCTCACATCCTGAGCTTGTTAGTGAGAACTTTTAACCCAACAATCTGGGCTCTGAAGAGAATGTTTAGATATTAAACTTTTTTTTTAAGTAGTAGAGCAAGAAATGCAGCTCACCTGGGCAGACAGCGATGTTGCAGAACTTGGTTTGTCTTGCGGGGCCGCGGCAAGGCTGTCCTCCATTCTGGGGCTGCTTGCAGGTGCGGGTTCGGTCACGGTAACCGCGGCCACATGTGGAGGAGCACAGGCTCCAGGGGGTCCACTCGTCCCAAGCACCATCCACTGCAAACATGTGATAAATATACTTACTTTATGATTTATTTTATCTTTGAAAACTTGAAAAGCTTCTAACTTCTGCAGGCATCTTTCAGAGTTTCTGCCGTGCTCATACTAGGATTCAAAGACTCACCAGGGCAGACAACTGAGTTGTTGCATGGTCGGTTCTCACGCAGGGGTCCGGTGCACTGGGTGGTGAAGGAAGAAGTGGCACAGAGGCGGGAACGGCTCTGCCAGCCCTCCCCACAGGTGACTGAACATGGGCTCCAAGTGGCCCACTCATCTGTCTTTGTATCTGTTATGAGAACATTAAACACTAATGTTATGGGATTGCATTGCCTCACTTTAGTCATCTCTTTGTTACAGTATCTTGTTGTTAATTCACCTGTTTGAGTTGCTACAGCTCCTGGATTGGACTCATCGGTGTTGTCTCTTTTCAGACCAATAATGGCACGCAAACCTTGGCTTCTGTTCCTCTCTTTGCCTGTGAGAGTTAAATGAATTGCATAATTATGGATTGAAAGCCCAGCCACCTGCAGCCGTGTTTTTGAGTTAATGACAAAATTATAGCTTACCAATGCAGGGCTGAGGGTTGCAGGCGCGGCCTTCCTCCACTGTTCCCTCACACACTCCATCCTCGGGCTGGCAGGTTCGGCTGCGCACCTGGACTCCGCCGCCACACTCCTGGCTGCATACGGACCAGCGGCCCCAGCCTGCCCAGCTCTCTGTGGGAAGACATGGAAAGAAAAGAAATGCTTGTTGAGAAGAGTTGGAAACTACAAGAGCTGAGAAAAAATTACAGCAGTTGGAAACATTATCACTGCCTTTGTGTTGTCTAACTTCAAGTTTAAGAGGAGGAAGTGAGTAATATTTTATCATGTGTAGAAAATGAGCAAGGACATTTCTTTGTGAGCAGAAGGGTGCTATCTAGTGGATAGACGTTTTATTTGAAAATGCAACTGTTTGCTTTTATCCACTTGCTGCAAACCTCTGTCAGAACGGTGTGAGTGTGTGAGTGTGTGTGTGTGTGTGTGAGTGCCTGTTGCTATGGATACAGCAAGTGCGGTTCTTCGATTTCTGCTGGCAGCCGACTATGAGGTCTTTGTGTTCCTTTTGTAGCCTGACATACAAACAGACTCTCTGTGCAAGTCTTGGTGCAAAGCTGAGCACTGTGTGAGGTGCAGCAGGTGATGCTACTTAGCTCTAAGGATGCAACATCAAACATCCCTAACAGCCTTGATTTACTTCTCATTATTCTGTAGGGTCGTAGAGCAAGAACTCTGGCTCTGCAGGCATGGATCATTGCTGTCAGCTGCTGTTTAGACACACCGCTGCAGCAGTGGGAGATTGCAACCTGCAGAGCTGTTCAATTTTGGAGAACTGGACTCCTTTACTTAATTAATTTAACTGTTTTGATCATGAGACTTGTGTTTTCTGAGTTTTTCTTTTTTCACTTTTCAAACCCAAACTGCACTTACTGATGATAATCTCAGCATCACGTCCGTTGTCTTTGGGAACAGGAGTGCATTTTTCCACGTAGACTCCGCCCCGGTAGCAGCTTCCTGGCTTCCTCTTTGGGGCCTCCCAGCACTGGCAGGGGGTGTTCATGATGCCGCAGGGATAATCATGGGTGCTGCTGTTCAGGCACTTCTCCAACCACTGGCACAACATCTGGCAGGCGGGCATGCTTGGGTTCCTCTTTCCCACAACCAGAAACTCGGCCTTGAACTCGCTGACACCGTGCTCTTGCCCAACAACCTCCAGCGCGTTCCTTGGGGCCACCTTGCGGATCTGCAGGAATTGCTTGCTTGACTCCAGGTAGGTGACAGCAGTGGAAGCGTCGCAAAGCCTGACAACCTCGTCGAAGCTCTCCATACCCAGGTAGGTGCGAGAAGTCTCGATGAAGGAGTCAAACTGGAAGGTCTTGATCTGGCGGGGCACGCAGGAGTCGGTGGGCTTGGTGATTTTCATGTAGACATTGTAGCGGCGTGGATCAGGGTTCTGCAGGGTCCAGGAGCAAGGAGCGGAAGGCAGGGTAGTCGTAGAGGAGAACACGCCAAAGAAGCGACTCTGCTCCAAGGTGGCACAGGTTGCAGAGGCCGGTCCAGAGGGAGTGCAGGAGGTCAAACCAAAGAAGAGCAGGATTAGGGCCACGCAGGGGCCGGTGAGAGCTGACCACGCCATTGGGTCGGCTTAGGTTTGGTTTTGGTGAAATCTGGGTTTAACTTTGTTTTTTCTTCGATTTCTTTGTTGCAAGTTGCTGCACTTGATTCAGATCTCTTGATTATCTTCGCAAACCCTTCTGAAGATTAGCTTTGCTTAAATGCATCAGACTATTTGGTATCTCAGAGAGGGATCTGTTGGGGAAAAAAATACATAAAAAAAAGTCTGTTAGACTGCTTTCACGTTGACAGTTATTGGTACGAACTGCAGAATACAATGCATTTTAATTGGAGCCATTGTTAAGCTAATATTTATGCAGCAGAGATTGTTGTCTGATCTGTATCACAGTGTTTCAGGCTACTCTGAATGCCTGGTTCTCAGAAAAATAATTGCTGTGGCGGAGCAATTACAGTCCTTCACAGCGAGGTGGTATCTCTGAGCTCTTGCTCTTTCCTCCCACACGCCTAACTGTGTGCGTCAGTCTGACGTCCGTGCAAGCTTCGCCACTGGCAACTTATTTGTGCAATTCACTCCTCTTATTAAGCAGTAAACAGCCGAAATAATAATAAAAAAAATCATCTGCAGCCATGGAGAAGGGTATTTACATACCCTGCACTGGCATTTCAGAAATTGCATGGGGAATATTTCCAGCATTGCTCAGGGAGGAATGAAGCAAAATGATCTTAATTACTATGACTTTTGCACATTACGTTGAATGCATTCAAAGAAAACATGTTTTATGCATGCATTTTCTACAATTCTGCAGAAGGTGTTTTGTGTTGCAAATATGCTTCTTCCTGACATAAAGGTCTGCAGAGTCTCCGACTAAATCCCAGCATTACTGAAGCAAAGCAGGTTGAAGACACTGGCGCTCAGAAGAGAGTAAAGCTGTTGCTCAGCAACAAGTTTTACTTTCAGACAGAGCTGGTTTTCTGCTTTATCATGTTTTCTATCTTAATCTTTGTCATACTATTTGCTTCACAGTTTATGGCAGTTTCTGCAGTTTATGAAACAGGAAATGGATCATTGAAGACAAATGAATTGCTATTTCAGAGTCTGCTGCAGAAACCTGTATTTAAATGTGGGTTCATCGTAAAGATAAAGCAGCGGCAGCTCGCTGAATGCATATGCAGCGACTGTGAGAAGCACCTGCACTTCTCAAGTTAAGTACTCATAATTACATCCATCTCATCTCTCCCGCCTCCATGCCTTGCTCTCGCCCCACCCCTTCTCTCAGCTCGTCTCATTTCTATGAGCAATGCAGTAGAGACCTTTGCCTTGTGTCAGTGGCTGTCTTTCTCTCCTCTACCCCCTCCCAACCCTTTTGGCAACCGGAAGCTCCATGAATGGGCATCTGATGAGAAAGACTTTGAAAAGAAAAGTCCAGCTGTGGCGGGAGAACTCTCCCTCCCCTCCCCTCCCCGACTGCTTCCACCCTCCCCACACCTATCTGCCCCATCCTCTCGCTTGTCCATTTGCTGTCGTCAACAACACATTGTGTGCATAGCAGGCTGCCTAAAGAGCGGGCAGTTTGTTGTTATGGAGACAGAGCTTATTTTCAGCAGAATAGTGTGAAAAGCGCCACATTTGCCATCTGACATGCTTTCTGTCCTTGCTGACATGCACGCTTTCTAGAAGCTACAGATGAAGGGATGAAGAAGTAAAACAGCAAATCACTGTAAAAGAATAAAGAAAGTGCTTGGATGTGTCATCACTGAAGTGACAGGTGAAATCTTACAGACTGAGTTTTGAGAGTCAAACTAAGTACTATCAATGCACCCTCAAAGTCAGGATGGGCTGTTATGTTAGTAAAATACTGCCTGAATGTTGTACAAGCTCTCGTATTTTCTTTACTGACTGTTCATTTGATAAAATACTATTTCAGTGCAGCAGAAAGACTGAAAATGTCTGGATCAAGCATGCCTCTTACTCATGAAAAAGAACAAGAAGCAAGAACTTTTTCAAACAGTTTTTGCACTCAGTAATGTATTTTTCTTTGAAGAAAAGCTTATATTTCTTTTTTTTTTTTTTGCTGCAGCACTGCAAAAAATCAGCACATGTGCATGAGCGTACACTTTAAGGCTCTGCAGGGAAAAAAATCCAAAACATTTTCAGCAAAGGCAAAACAATTCTTTGCATACTGCAGAAAATACCTGAGTGTGTAGGTTTAATGAGATGTTTGCATCAAAGCTGATTTGTTGCACAGCTATGAAATGAGCTGAATAAGTCATTCAAAAGACTTAGTATGAATATTGTTCCATTGTAGCGAATCAGTGTCAGTCTCCTGCAACAACACTTCATCAAAAAAGAAAGGAAAACCATAAAGTTCAATGAAGCAGTCTGTTGCCTCAGTACAACTTTCTTCTGCCTCATCTGTCTACACAGTGGGAAGCTACTTTAATAGTAGCATTGTGTGAGAGCAAGCTTCAAACAATTTAAAACTGCATTAAAGTGAGAAGTTGTTGTTAGGTTGATGCATACAGGAGCTGAAACCTTCAAAATCAGTGGAGCAGATCTCAGTGCGAGGCAGTTCAGGGAAAGTTTCAGAGTTTCAGCACCGCGGACAGCGACACAGCAACTTTAAAAGCAGAGGAAGGATTCGCATTCACATCACTCATCCTCACTTTAGGACTTCACCAAGAAGATAAAAACACATTCAGACGGTTCATCAAATGCTTCCCTCTTTCTCCTTACCTCGAAAATTCTTCTTTGAAGTCTTTATCAGCGGCTCTCTAACCGGTCCGGTCCAGTCGTCTCGGTTCGGATCTGGCAGCAGCTGCTGAGTTCGTCTCTCGAAAAAGTCTGACTAGACCTCAAAGTCTTGAGATCTGCGCTCCTGGCCAAAAACTTTCGCAGCTCTGTAGAGACCGCCGAAAGGATGCGCCAGGTCCAAAACACTCGAACCCCGGAGCGGGGATCGATCCCAAGTTTCAGTGCAGTCCACTCTCACAAGCAAAGAAAAATTGAATGCGACTCTAACCAAACTCCAAAGAGTTTACTACCAACTTCGTTTAGCTGCTACAGCCTATCCAAGGAAGGAAGCGGCGTATAGCGAAGGGACAAATTGGTTGTTGTCGGAGCTCCAGCAGAAAGTCCGTTCTCGTTCGTCTTTGTTTCTCTCTAAGCTCCAGAATAAAAAATGTTGGTACTTCTACTCTCGGCTTCGGAGTCTTCTTGCTTGTGGTCTTTGCACTGCAAGTGGGTCCAGTCTCAGTGTAGCTTGTGGCCTCCACTCGGAGCTATATATCCCACCCCGCCCCTCCCATGGCTTGAAGTTGGGAGTCAGTGCGTGGATGGAGTAGCGGAGTGAATGAGACAGCATCATCGGAGAGGGAAGGGAGGGCGGGAGGAGAGTGTGTGGCCAGTGTGCGGAGGTGACGCGGCTGTGTGTGCGAGCGCGTGCGCAGAGGCGTGCGCGTGGAAGTGTGAGAGCGGCAGCGTGTGTCAGCGCACCGAGGAGGGAGGGAGCCGAACCGAGCGAGGAGGGGAGGGCTCTGTGCAGAGGAGACAAACGATAGTGAAGAGCAAACTACGCAGATATGAACGCACAGCCAAAGGTACCGGAAAGAGGATCAACGGAATAGGTGTGCAGCAGGCAGCAGGGGACGCAACGAAGAGAAATCAATTGTTTTCTCAGATTGCGACATTTCTGAATGTCATTTCTGAATGTTTATTTACCCGGCTTCCAAAACGTGCATTCATGACTTTACGTGTGCGACCATCCAGGGCGTTAAAGTATGACTCCCTCTTTAGATATTAGAAAATTACATGACATGCTTGAGTTTTTTGGAGAACTCATGTTCTAAGGGCGAATTGCAACGTGGAGAGTCAAAAGTGCTGCAGTTAAATAATAATAAAAATTAAATAAATAAATAAAATTATATGCAATAAGTATTGATACATGTGACAATTTAACTAAAATAGGAAATTATTAAATAAATGCAAAAATGATGATCTGCACTTAAACTGCTGTGCAGACCAAACAATCAGGCAAAAGTTAGTATACATTTGATCAACTGCAGTGGCATTTTAACTAGTTTGAAAATGCACAGAAAAATTAAAAATAAATACCAAAAATATGATACATGTGGGTGAATACAAGTTTAAACGATTAATTTATTCAACCCAATTATTTGTTCTGTATTTAATAAATTCCAGGCACATTTCTGTAATCAAATCTTAGTTTAATTCAACCTTGATCGTATATACACGATCAATTATTTATTTATTTATTGTAATACTGGCACTTTTGGGTCTCGACAACCTGCAGGGAGTGCTATCATGCAAACCTGTCTGTCACTCACTCAGTTGTTTCTCCCTGAAACCCACACTCACATACACAACAAGGCTTGTGCACACAGGAACAGGCGCTCCTCCCTTCATGCCTTTCTGGTTGGTTTCTCTCCCTCTCCGGGGTTTGTGGGCGGATCTGGGTAGTTCTCGAAGTGTGAAAGGGATAACCTGACGTGGGTGTCTGACTGTGTAATGCTGGCTCAATTCCTCTAGCTCAAGATCCACGTGTGGGAAAAAAAAAAAATCTAATTTAGAATGAAAAAAAAAAAGACAATCCAAGCCAAGCAGCATGCATGAGTCAGGGAGTGTAGAAAATGGACGTTGATAAAGCAATGATCATCAGCCGTGTTCTTTTGTCAACACTCTGTTTCTTGGTTTACTCAAGCGATGTGGGAGTCAGGAGTCACTGCTGTGGCAGAATAATCACAAACGTCACAAAACTACACACAGGGATATGCAATTTCCTATTCCTATTCCAGAATTTGACACAAAGAGTTTTAGGTTTGGGAACTTGTCAGTTAGACTCGCAGGTGAGTTTCTTAAGTTATGAACATCTGATCTGACTAAATAACCAAATATTGTTGCACTAAATGCGCCCTCTGATATCTTCAATTCCAATAAATTCGCAATATTATTCAAATCAGAGAGTTTGTTTGCTTATTTGGAAAATTGGGCCTCTGCTATTAAATTGAGTAATTAACATCTGCTATGAATTTGCATTGGTTTTAAACCTTCCTTTCACGCGTCGATGCCTGTTCTTCCCTTGCACCTTTGCATTTACACGAGAAAAAAAAGTTATTTTGCGTCACTTTTCTTTGAAGTTATTTCCTTTTAGCGCCCGTGTTGAGTTCTTTCATTGCCAGGAAAGACAAACAACTCCGCTGAGTTCAGCGTAATAACCTCTCAGACCGGTGTGGGAGAAACCTGCAGGAAATTAAAGAAAAAGCAGAAAAATGTGTTTGTCGCTCGGACTGAAGTCAGCAAGTGGGCTTATGACGTCGGATACATGAGTAAAAGACAACAGCGTTTGTATTTTTCCACACATGCGCAAAAATGAAAATGTGTCACCACAGAAACAATGTCCTTCTCCCCATGTGGCCCCATAATAAATATTACGCATGTGATCCTACACAGTTCTGCTAACTGTACTTTACTGTAAAACAAAGACACTGGTTCCTGCAATAATTATTAAGAGATCATTTTAATGGATGATTATTATGATAATTGAAATGGAAGTCGTTGCTGATCAAATTGCCCCACTGTTTCAAAAGTTACTGCAAAAATTGCTAAAGTGATCAACAAGGGATTAATTTAGATTTTCAAAATAAAGAGCGCATGTACTCTTCAAAATAAAAGCCCCAAGATGTCATAGAGTGTTTTATTACAAATAAATATTGTACATTATAAATCGATCTTAATGAGTAAGTCTACATTTTTGAGGATTTAATTATTGTAAAGTTGGTTTCAGACTCCAAGCAAAAGCCTTTTGACACCAGCTCAGCAAAATCTTTTTTTTTTTTATAAAAATGTCCAAAATGTTCTGTCTGAAACATTGTTAATTGGCTCAGCACACAGGAATATTGCAAATAACCCTTTAAATTGCTGCATGTTCCTCATTTTGATATCTGTAGAAGAATCCAAAGGTTCAGAAGAACATCTGGGCATTTGAGGAGAGATATTTGTCCTATACGACCGAATTTTCCATAGGTTCTTGTAGCCACACAGGAACCAGGAGAAACAATGACCTTTAATGTTGGATTGTCAACTAAAGTACAAAGAACAAACAGCAGTAAGCCTTTTGGAAAAATACTGCACAGTCACAGGGTAACCACCAAAGCACATGGAGGGAGTGCTGGTTTACTATTTACTGCTGGTCTGACCTCCAGCTGCTGACCCAGAACTGCTAATCAGCCACAAATACAACCGTACCGACCTGTGCCTATGCATGCAGCTAATGTGGGAGTAATTAATACACGAGCACACTGATGTTCACCTGAGCAAGGCCGAATTGTTGCAGATCTGGATGAGGGCTCTGTGAGCCCGTGCGATTTGTGTCTGAGTTCGTTTGCAAGGGAGGCGTGGGCCGCTGTGGGCACAGTTATATAAACAAATACCCATATAAGACAATGTGAGAGAGGAATGAAAAAAACGAAAGTTTGAGGAATTACCTGCAGGACCTCGTGCCTCCACACTTTTTTCCAGGACAGCCCTCTTGAAATAGAAGTAGTTTTTAGGTTGTATCAGAGGGCCAGAAAATCCCCACGTACGGCCTACTCACAGGATGGAGTTTTCTGCATAAAGTGGGTGTGCAGTCTCTGTACTTTTGCTTCGATGTTCTGAAAGCTTCAACATGCATAACTCATGACAACCTGTTATTATGGAGGATTAAAAGCCTTTGGCCTTTGCTTGCTCTGTTTAATCAAACCCTGCGAAGTGATGTAACTTTGAGCTCAGCATGTTTCTTTCTCTCGCACTTCTGGTTGCAGTTATGTTGTTATCTGAACTCTAGATGGAGCTGTTCTTAGATCAAGCTGCCTCAGGCTGTGCTGGTGCAACACTCAATCAAAAGCCATGTTAGAAGAATAAATATTTCTTGATTAAAAAGGAAGAAAACTCCTTAAGAAAGAAGTATTATGTTCTCCCCTTGTTATTGGGGAATGAAGGTGAATTTCTCTTCACTTTTATGCACTGTGTTTGTGTCTGCTTTTAGTGAACAGGGGTTGTAATTTGCATAAATGAAGAAGGCGCTGATTTTTGCTTGATTTTGACCCTAACAACTCTCACTCTGATGTGTGCATGTTGATCTTGCCGGTTTTGCTGCAGTTTGTGCAGAAGCTCAAGGCTTTGTGTTCAGTTCTACGATCATGCAAAGTTTTACATCTTCAATCACTTTTGCATTCTGTCTATAGAAAAATTATCCCTAGAATTAATTTCTGCAGGGGACTAAATACTGCATTGGAAGAATTAAAATGTTTTAAAATGCTGTTCACATTGTGCTTCGTTTCAGTATGACTGACAAAGACAAACAAAAGTAAAAAGAAACATTTTTAAAATAAACGTTGCCTTGATCTTAGATGCAATCTTCTGCTACTCTTTTCATTTTCCTACAATCAGTAGCAGAAGTAGGACATGCACAGGGACAAGGCAAGAAAAGAAAAAGTGTGTCTCCAAAGCCAATCACAAAGTCCCGTGCTTGCAAACCATTTCTCACAAAAGAAGCAATATGTCACTCAATTGAAAAGGGTCTGAGTCTTCCCAACTGCACAGTACCGATAAAGTGCAGCAGTTTCATCCTTTTTCTAATATGCCTGAAAGAGAAAGACCTGCAGGATGAAAAGGTGTTGAATAAAATAGGACTTGTGGCTTTTTCAGACAGAAGAGGGGCAATCTATAGTGCAGTTTTGCAGGCAACAAGTAGTTCCTGAAATCAGTAAAATGATGGTGCTTCTTAAAGGGATCTCAAGAAACTTTGCACTTGTAGAAACTAATAATTTCACACATTCTTCTTTGCAAAATCGTTCAGCTTTTATAGATTGGATGGAAAGCATCTCTGAGCATAAATTTTCAGCTCTTGTTCCAAATTCTCAATTAGATTTAGCCCTAGGATTTGACTGGGTCGTTCTAATGCACCATCATGCTTTGACATAAACAAAAGGTGCCACACTTAAATGAAATGAGTGAATAGAATAGATTTTTAAAAACAGGGATGATTTGGGTGTAATGAAACATACACACCCGTAAAATATGCACAAAATTGGTTCTTGAATGACTTGTATGACTCGTAAAAATAATATCCTGTTCCCATTTCCATCAACTCTGACCAACTTTCCTGACCCATCTGAAGATAAGCATCCCACAGAATGACGCTACCACCACTGTGTTTCATAGGGGATCGTGTGCTAGTGT